CGCCTCCTTCCGTCCATGACAACTCATCAAATGCAGTCCTCGAGCATTTTAGTGAGATTCCCTACAGAGACTCCAGTGAAAGCGGCCACTGAATGCGGAGTATTTGTTTGGGTCTTCCTGACCTCTTGCCTTGGGCAAGAGATGCAGTCTCGAGGCAAAGGCCATGCAGCACATGGGCAAGGACTTCAAGGGAAGGCGCAGCTCCTGGAGCCGCAGTTGGGGCTTTTTCCTTTCTTGGGGTGGACCATCAGACATGATTGCACTTCCAGGCATAACAGCTCCTTGAAGCAGGTGTTCTGTGTGGATTGCACAGAGCTTATGTTGGCGATCTCTTTCGGAGGGACGCAGTCTGCAGAATTTCAACGAGAGACTCATGATAAACATTTGGCAGATTAGACTGAAGTGGTGCGACAGGAGATCGTTTTGTTAGGGGCGCAGAAGTCTTGGGGAGGCCTGCTACGTAGCGATGCAAGTGTTGCAAGTGTCGATCAACAACATGTGGGGATCTGTTGTGACACAGAAAGTGCTCCCTGCAGCAACAAGGGCCAGGGAGAGGACATCTTCAGGATGAGATCTTGACCGAGGGGCGCATGAGGCTTATGCGAACGGTGGGTGTTTGCTTGACGCATGGCAGGCAATGCGCACATGAGTATAGATGAGCATTGCAGCCATCACGGGTCGTAATTTTGGATCCTGATTAGTGTGGGGGCCCCCCCCAAACAAAAAGGGGAGTCCCTAAGATAAAAAAGCATCAAAACGAATTGGAGGTCTGGGGGATCCTATGGCTCCTATTAAAATCAATACAGGAAGACGGATCCTTCGGCTCCTATTGAATCCAAGAATAAGGACTTGCTCGGTCTAGCTTTCAAGAGAACAGAAAGGCCGGGTCTTCAGCCTTTGCGTTAAACGGCCTGGTCTTGTTCAACTAGTAAAAGCAGTTACACTCTAGTCAAGATCATAGAAAATCATTCCAAAGTCAATTTGAAAGGAATTTGATCAAAACTTAACCTAACTTTTTTCCAGCCGAAAAAACTTTTTGGGAACGCCCCCAAATCAAATACGGGGTCCAGAATAATTGTCGAAAATACTTTACTTTATTGGGGCCCCGCATTAATCGGGATTCGACATTAGCGCGCTGCAGACTACTGGCAGGTTCCATGCATTAAAGGCAAAAGCAGACCGCTTCCTTCAGATTTCTTGGCGGAACCTAGCTTGACTGTTACTCGTACGCGCTGCTCAAGAGAGTGACTGCTTGTTAAGGTTGGAGCATGCCAAAAAGCTGCTGATGCAGCGGGATGCCGCATGCCGACTTGCCGAGACTGAGCGACTTGCCTGCAGCGCTGCACGCCAAACAGACGTTCACGAAGTTTACAGCACAGCTAGCACAGATTTGAAGATTGTTAAGCCCCGAACGCCTTACAAGCACTCGTAGCAGGAACTACCAGCTGCGTGAACAGCTGGCAGCCTTGCAGAACGTCGGGCACAACTCGCAGGCAGCCCTTGCTTGTCAGTCATTAGATGTCAGGAGGTTGTAGTGCTGATTAATTTCGCCCCGCCAAAACATACCAACTGTGTGTTTAACTACGCAAAGACAAGCCTACAAACACCGCTAATTCAATGCCATCATTTTTCTGCATTTGAAGCTGCTGCCACAGATGATGCTCACGAGCGGCCCCGCGAACGTTGTCGCCCCGCCTTCCCCGGAAGCACCGCCGCTGCCTCCCACCACTGGGCAGGAGCATGCCTACAAAATTTGCATCGACTGATTCTGTTTTGGGTTTGCACGGGGCTGGAAGTATTTGCGCTGGCAGTGTAACTTGCCCTGGCTAGCCCTGTGACACTTCCCTAGCTCCACTGGATCACACGGGCTTTCAGCAGACTTTGGCTGCTCAAGACTTTTGAATTCCATTCGCCATGGAATGGTACTTTCTTCGAATTATTTGGTTTCATGTATTCTGTGCTATGTTAACTTGACTTTGTATGATACAGATTTCCCAGAGGAGCTGGTCTTGCACCGCTTGGAGCGTGCGCAAACGGTCCTGGAGCTACTTGCTTCGGTGAGGGCAAGGGCTTGGGAATCTGTGTTAGGGCCCTGCCATCTGTCTTAAATTGTTGTTATGTTTTTTAGGGGGGACGCTGTGGGTAAGTCTTGCAAACCAATGAGCAGATGTTCCAGATACTGGGCAGGATCGGGGCTTATGGTGGGGATTTCCAACAACTGACTTTCGGGATGTCGAAAGCCTGGGGGGCAGGGCTTTGAACAAATTCTGCAGGGTCTAGCGTGTGGGGCGAGTGCGCTTTGCAAAGTGTCAAGGGGGTCAACTGGGGTAGTGGTTCAACTGGGCAAGCTGGGCAGGGGGGTCAAGTGGATAAAGTGCGGCAAGCTGGTCAAGTGGATAAAGTGGGGCAAGTGTTGCAAGGGGGTCAAACGGGGCAAGTGCGTCAGGTGAGGCAAGTGGGTAAAGTAGTGCAAGTGTAAGTGGGGGAAATTTTGGTCAAGCGCAAGTGGGGCGTGTGGCCGCGGACCCTTAATCCCCCAACGCCGACACTCAAAGATTTGTCTAATTTCGGCAAGCCGGCCCCTCAAATTCTCAACACAACCCCCCATAAGGTCCCAAGCTTTTTTGCGCTTGCTATTATTAGGGTGGATGGGGTTGGGGAGGGCGCAGCGCTCCCATTTTCAAATTATGAATGAAGGTTTCAAGGCCAGGCAAGAGTATGACAACGCCAAATGTGTTTACCCCCGACAATCCCAGAGCATTTGATGTGGGGGCACAGGAAGGTTTTGGGTCACGGATTCCATCACGGGATTTGATGAAATCCGGTGGGCGCACACGAGTCCTCAAGAAGGATTTGATTAATATGGAACCCCAACAGGCCCCAAGCAAGCGCGGAGGGCGGGGGGGGTGGGGCGTGGTGTTGCGCCCCCATGTGCAGATCATGAGTGAAGATGTGGAGGCCTGGCAAGAATGTGATGAAGCCAAGTGTGTGTGGCACCAATAACTGTTGGAATCTCAGAGCCTCGAAGATGCGGAATATGATCTAGGGGCACAGGAGGGTCTGGTGACAAGAGGATTAAAGGATTCGATGAAACCTGGCAGGGTGTAGAACAGTCCAGGAAGCAGGATTCGATGAATTTCGGGCTAGGGCGCAAAAATACAAAACATAAGCAACACACAACAACTGCTTCGTTTGTGCAAGAAGCAGCATTTTTTGCAGGGCTGGAGTGCGGCACACGCGCAGACGGCCTTTTGGTTTTGATGTTTCCAAGATCATAAGGGGATTTGAGTGAGGCAAGGACTGCTGGCTCGAGTTTACTGCGATGATTCTAAGGTCATGAACAGATTTGACTAAGGCAAGGGACATGCGGTGACGGGAAAACGGAATACAGCTTGCTAATTGAGGGGAGGTCTCGTCAGAACATGTTGCAGCCCTGAGCTTCAATCAGTACAAGCTGTTTCATCGGATGCAGTCTGAAACAGCTGAGGACTTGGGCCACGAAGTACCATCCCAAGATCAAGGCTGCTACAACAATCTGCACAACGTGGCTGTGGTAGCCCAAAAAGAATTCCAATGGGAAGAAGGTCCTCCAAGAACACAAAGGCTGATCCCACGCGACGGTCCAAGATTGATGGGTAATGTACTTGCTTCATGGCCTTGTTTTTTGGAACCCTTTTTAAACACAGGAAGGTATCGTTGCGCGACGCGCTGGGATTTGAGGGCTTGCCGACACCAGCCTAGCCTGGGCACAAGATGTGGGGGCCAGGCGCGCATGCTGGATGATGACTCCGATGAGGAGATGATGGATTTGCCAGGCCCGGGCGCCCCTTCTAACCCATGAGAACTCTCTTGCGGGCATTCTTGTCAGCAAACGGGAGCCGGGCGCATCCCGAGGAATCTGATGCGTATTTTGGCTGTATTGAATTGGTATTAAGCTTGAAGTCTATTCTTCCCGGTTAAAGCGAGATGAGGTGACTGTTAACGAGTAATCAGCAACACTCTCCGTGCAACCCGTCGAGGCGCTACAAATCACCTTCTGGGGAACTCTAGCTGCGGCTTCCATCACGTTTTCTTTGGGAGAGCTTTTCAGCATACCCCAAAGGTCCAAGAAGAGTTAGGCAACCTCAGCCAGTATGTTCAACATGGCATGCAGTTTGATCAAGTTTGATTCTCGTAGAAAGTCCGCAAGAATTTTATGTGTCATATGTTCCCAAGAAACCTTATCGGGCCCGCTGGCACAGGTGCTGTTCAGACTCTGAGACCCGAGAGCAACAAGCCAGAGAAGCTGCCGGACCAGACGGAGCGACTCAGCTAGCTCTGTAAGGGAATGGCATTTTTCTGGACGTTCTTACTACTCTATTATTGTACATTATTGCTATTATTACTGTTATTATAGCTGTACTATAAAGAACAAGAAACGCTGGTAATGCTGATGCTGGGAGAAGACCACACTCCAAAGCAGAAATGGAAAAAGACGTAGACGTAGCAGCGGTTGAAGGAGTAGGCCGTTGTAGAAGGGCAACATGAAGCTTGGCTTCATGGCTCTAATTCAGCGTACCTTTTCCAGCGCATAGGGATTACTACTACAAGCATTTTGGCATATTGGGGACCCTCCGAGCATGTTATGCGCACTGGATCATAAAAGATCATCATCATCACCGTCATGATCATCCTCCAGCCAACGCGCATCGCAAACCCAAGCCCAGCCCAGGGAGGAAGAAGTGGAGCAGACGGATCCGCGTGCCGAGTACTTGCGACAGTCGCAGAAGCAACGGACTCCTGGCATGCAGCAGAGCGTGAGACGCAGTATAGAAGTGCACGTGTGAGTTTGGATGAGGACTATTAGTCGGATGAGGTGTTTAGATTCAATCGTTTTATCGTTGTTGCGCGATTAGGTCTTGCGACGGGCTTTGCTAGGGTGAGCCAGCCTGGTGGCATGTGTGTGTGGGACAGAGGCATGATAGAGGTGAGAATGCGTGCCTGAGCGGAGGAAGAAAAAGATGCTCAACAGCAAGCTCCGCACTCTGGACATGAAGTCGCGAATGCGCGACGCTTTTGCCGAGCCCTCCTATATTGCCACGGACCGTCTCCAGGGCTCCGGATTTCGAACGGAGTGGCAATAGATGTTGCAGTTACGCCAGCATTACAAGATGGCCTGTCACCAGTGAAAGATCCTGCCTGAAATACTTGTGTCTTTGGATGAGTGCAAATGGCAAATACTCAAGCTTTGAATTCAACGTGACCCAGTCAGACCAGAAACATGGGGAAGCCACACCTGGCATGTAGAAGCTTCCCTGACCAGGAGCACTACCACAAGACGGGCTGCTGTCAGTATATTGCTCGCTCCCACTGGTTCGAGCATTCGATCATGCTCCTTGGCCTAACAGAGGATCAAGACGGGCCTCTTAAATGCGGGTGCGAGTGCTGGCTGCTAGTGAGCAATCATCACTCCTTCGGACTCTGCGAGCATAATGCAGCATACTTCGAGTATAAAGCAGGCAGCAGGGACTTGTCAGGAAACAACATGCTTTTTTCAGGACATGTCAAGTGCCAAGGCCGAAGCTCCAGCCAAAAGATATGTCATGGATGATGAGGGTTGTGTGCCTGTTCCTTCTAGACTAGACACGCGACAGAAAAGGGGCCACAGACCAATCGCCAGGTTCATCATTCTGTTGAACTCTGTTTGGATTGGCATTGAGTCCACCATCAATGAGTCTGCGCTGCTCATCAATGCTGCTTCTCGTCTTCTTGGAGGTAACTTCAGGGTTGAACCGGGTTGAATGTGTGTGTGGGTCAAGGTGTGGTTTGCATCTTTCATCATTTTCAATTTCATGGGCTTACATTACAGTCGTACAGTCAGTGCACAATTTCAGCATGCTTCTGAACTGTGCTTGCGACTCTGTTGGATGCTGTCGCAGTGGACCTTCCGAAGGTGTTTTGTCAGAATCATAGTGCTTGTAACCACCCCCCTGTGCCCCTGCAAGACTCCTGTGCAAACCTGAGGATCCCGGCATCATCATCGCGGCCTCTCTCAACAACGGGGTTCTAGAAACAGGAACATGGCATAATTTCAGGCCAGATTTGACGGTTGTGGATTTTTGTTCGTGTAGTGCTCGGAGGGCTGCAGCATTCTAATTAGGCTATATAGAAATAGATGGCAGGAAATCTTGCGCACAAAGTCTCCAAAGCAAAGTTTTGGTCGGGCAAAAAGAATTCTGGATACGTGCAAGCAAGTTGCAATCAGAATCTGCGTTGCTTAGCTGTCTCGGCCCTTGGAATCAGCCTTGGAAGTCTGAGCTGGAACCACCTTGAAATATATATATATATACATATGTAAATATCTTTAGTATGGTTCCGTCTTTCTGTGTCTTGTGTCTTATTGGGTATTAGATGCCGCCTCAATTCCTTAAAGACATGTCCTGAATTTACAAGGTGGAAAACCTGCTCTGCTTGGCGTTCACAGTTGAGATCATAATCCGTTTCATGGCTTTCAAGCTCCTTGATTTGCACAGGATGGTTGACTCCTTTCTGTTGGTTTGACAGGGTGTTAGAACACTTTAGGATTGTCAAGGAGTAAGCATTGGGAAATGCAGGGAACAGATCCGAAGACCAATTGCCTGCACCTCTCCTTGATAGGTTTAGCCAAGTGCTCCGTTCTAAACCCCCGCCTTTAGAGGTAAGACTAGCGCGGCATTAGGCGGAATGTGTCCAAAA